GTAGACATCTCAAGTCTTTTCACACCCATCAATATCATTAGGCTTGGACGGGGATAAGAGATCTTGCTCCTCAATGCTGTCCTAGACTCTTATCTCTCCCTCCTCCCTAAAAAGTTTTACGTCTCAGTTATCTAACTGCTTTAGTTAGTAGTGACCACCAGATCACTCCCTTTCATTCTCTGAAGATTTCAGCCCCTCTGTCAACTTTCACACACTCTTTTACAACACTTGACATAGTTCTTGGTGATTTCAATATGCTCACAGATGACCCTCCTGTCCTCTCATTTATTAACCCCTCTCCTCAAACAGCTTGTCTTCTACCCTGCCACAGCCATTCATTTTTTCTGGTTACATTGTAGACCTTATTATTACCGGTAATTGCAATCCTTCTATAACCTCAACTTCAAATACTCCATTCTCCAACCGCCACTCTTTATTTTTCAGTTCACCCTCTACTACACAACAATCCATCAACCCTGATTCCTCCATTCTCCAAACCTTCATTATCTCTTGATTCTATCATATTTCCACTGTCCCTCAGCTCTTGGTGTTTTTATTTTCCTTCTTACCCAGCTAAAAAACCCTTAATCACAATCTTGGTTAAATTAGACTCTTCACCGCACACACAGAGCTGAAAATGGGTAGGGAAAAAAAACACAAAGCCTGCTGACTAGTCTCCCTTTAAATTCATCATCTCAAATGGACCCTTATGCCAACCAGCAATCACACCATATGTATTTCCCTAGCTAAGACCATTTGTACACTAGAAGACAGTCCATAAGAATGTCCCAACAATTCTCCCTTCTGTCTTTAACTTCAGCAATTATTCTCTCCACTGGCTAATTCTTACCAGCATTCAAGCATTCTATTATCTGACCCCATGGTCCCCCATTGTTTTATCTCTCCTTCTTCAAGACTATTTCAAAGAGTTGCTTATACTCAATGTCTCAAATTTCTTGCTACAGGCTCTCTGGAATCCATTCTAGGCTCTAGAGCCCATCATTTCATCAAAACAACTTGTTGAGCCATCATTGTTCTTCACATGGCTAAAACAAATGTTTACCAGACCTTAATTCACCTGACCAATCAATCGCATCTGACACAAATAAACACTTTTCCTACTAGATAAAAACCCTTTAACTTGGTTTTAGGATACAACACTAATCCGGTTTTCCTACTACTTTCCTGGTCACTCATCTTCATCTCCCAGGCTTCTAAATGCTGAGAGAGCTCTAAGACTTGGTCATTTTTTTCCACATATACTCATTCCCCAAGGTGTTCTATTCTGGTCTCATAGGTTTAAATTCCATTTATATAATGCAAATTTCCAAATTTCTATCTTTAGTCAGGATACCTCTCTTGAACCCTTCCTGCCCACTTAACATCTCTGGAAGGCTTAAGAGGAATCTCCCAAATAAGCTCCTGAAATCCTCACCAAAATTTCAGCAGTCTTGCCCATTTTGTTAGATGGCAACTCCTGTCTTCCATTTGCTCAGGCCCAAATCCTTGAGGTCGTATTTCTTTTCCACCTAATAATAGCAAATCCTGTTGAAGCTATAAAACATTCAGAATCTGATCTCTTCTCCTGAGTTTGGTGTAAGCTATCATTATCATCTCTTACCGGCATTACTCAAATAGCTTCCTAACAGATCTCTTTGCTTTTACCCTCATCTCTTTCTACTCTAATCCTCAACAGTTCATTCTCAACACAGGAACCGGAGTAAGCCTTTTAAAGAGTAAGCTAGATTATGTCACTCCTCTAATTAAAATCCTGCAATGGCTTCATTCTCAATCTGAGTAAATGCCAAAGTCCTGAAAATAATCAATGAAGCACTGATCAGCCTCTGTTAACTTTCTGATCTCATCTCCAACTACTCTAGCTCTTGTAGTATGGCTCCAGCTACCTTGGCTCTTTGTTGCTCCTAGCACATGACAGGCATGTTCTTACTTCAGGATCTTGGCACTTTCTGCCTGTAATGCTATTACCCCTAGAGAGTTACATGGCTTACTCCTTCCAATCTTTACTATTTCTCAGTAAGTCTTCTCTAACTACACTACCAAAAAATACACTCAACTGCTTCTTCATCCTTCTTTCTTGCTTTTTCTCCCCAGCTCAACTATATGACACACTATATATTCCACATATATCTGGTGTATATGCACACATCTATTGTGCATGTGTGCATGTATATTCTGTCCCTCTACAAACACACACATTTTTCCCCTCCCCAAGTAGAATGTACTCCATCCATCATGAGGGTAGGACCTTTTGTTCATTCCAGTGGCTGAACCTGTGCCTAGCACACAGGAGATCAAACATTTCTGCTAAATGAATGAGAATATGAATTTAAATATAATAAATAATTTTCCTGTAGGTTATAACTTTAGAAATCTTGCAAGTTACCAATATTTTATAGTGACAGTTGTCCACTAAACTACATACTGAAAAAAAAAAAAAAAAACCATTCAAAAGGAGACTAAACGTTCATGTAATAAATACAGGGTTATTCCAATAAACAGGTTGACTCTATTCTGCCCAAAACTGGTCCAGGTCTTGTAAAGATTAGAAGAGGAAGAAATTAGATGACTTGAATTGTCACAAAAAAGCTCTTATTGGGGAAATGACAACTTCCTAGGAAATTAAGATTCTTTAGTAAGCTATTAAAACTGGACACCATGCATTCTAATTTAAATGCTGAATGCCTTTCTACAAATTACTCAGTGAAAGAGCATAATGAATTCGCCTCCAGGGGATAAATCTTTCATCACGAAATTGCTTAAACTTTATTTCGTTAAACTACTAAAATATTTAATTTTTCAAACTATTTTAAAAACCAAAAGACTGTAAAAGACAATTTAAAAAAAAAACATGGGGATCTTGCTATGGTGTCCAGGCTGAATGGACTGATCACAGGACACTACAGACTGGGACTCCTTGGCTCAAGGGATCGTCCTGCTTTAGCCTCCCGAATAGCTGGGACTACAGGTGCATGCCACCACCCTGGCTTGATTTTTACAGAAGAATAAAAACATACCAGAAGTGGTTAATAAACTGATTTATATAAAAATAGTGATAAATTGTAATGCATTTAAGAAAAATGAACATGGATTCTTTGTAGAACTGTTAATTAACTGTGTAAACACTTTTAATTCAATTTCTGTATCAGTTTCAATAACTGGGGCAAGGGGATTCTCTACTTCTTTTTCAATAGAAAAGTAAGGCACAGTAAAGCTTGGAGAAGAAGATTACAGTTAACAGGCTCCTGCAAACAAAGAAGTATTTGAGGATATTTCAGATTCAAGACAAAAGTGTTCAAAATTGACACTAGAACAATGACCCTCAGTGTCATTCTTCCAGCTGAGAGGAAAAAAGGAAGTGAGGCATACTTGGAAACATTTACAGTCTGAAGCCAAAATAATTGTAATACTGTGTAAAAGCATTTCAAAGATTGCTGTAAACTAATGATGTTTAGTATCACATGAAATAGTCTAACCCATGCTTATGGTAGTTTATTAGTCTTATAAAATACGTGTAAGTTAGGAGAGGTACACGGCTCTGATTTCAAAGAGTTTTAAGACATTTAGAAGGAACTCTAACTTAATATTGTTTTGTCCCCCTCCCTCCCAATTGTTAAATGCTTTTCCAAACAAACAAAAAAACTCCCTTTTTTAAAACAGGGGAGAACTAAGGTTTTACAAAGCTCACAAACTCCAAACAGCTTTTGGTTCAAATACAGGTTCTGAGCCTTTGGTCACACTAACAAAGCATTATTGTCAGGTGGCTGGTATACAATGAATATTTTCACAATATGGGACAAACTACTGCAACATAAATGCCACTATCATAAATGACTAGTTAGCAGTCCTGTTGGGAAAGAGTAAAAAAAGATAAAACATGTTATTTGGACAGTTCTTCCTCTTAGAGATTTTTATCATCAAAAAAGGGAAAATAAGCTGATGTAGTTAATGGGAGATGGGAATTCGGCTTTGGCTGTCATTCATTCACATTACGTATTAAACGTTTACCATGTACGAACCTCTGAAGAGATAATAAAGGTATTCTGAGTAAAGACATCAACCTTGATCTCAATGTGTATTAGATACAATAAAGGGAAAAATGGATAAGGGGAGAAAGTGTCGAACAGTATAAAAGCGTACCAAAAAAACTATAGGATTTCTACTGGGAAACTACTTGGGACAACCCCAGTCATAGCTGCGTACACGTTGTTCTGAGAAAAGCAGAGCGACATGTGGGCATCATTTCTATAAAGTCTGGGAGTGGACAGGGAGTATTCGACTTCATGGCGGCAAGATGCCATGACTCATTCCACTCACCAAAACGTGGAAGCCACGACTTCCCACAACCAAATATGCACATGCGACAATATATCCATTTTAGGGTGCTGGAGGAGTGTGGGGGTAATAGAGGGTGCTGTGGATACAGAGGGTGCTCTAAGTTCTAAAGGTGACTTCCTCTCCAGCAGGGTTAGCTCCACGGCAGGAGTGGGGTAAAGGGGGAGTGGAGACTACGGCATCTAGGTCCATTCTCTAAGTCCCTGGCGGGCGTGGCAGGCAACAGCGGCGACAGCCGGGTCGGCTGGACGGGAAGACTGAGGCACCCCCAACGTCTCGGCGTCGCCCGCGCTCCGGCACTTCCAGCTGTCCCGCAGGAACCGCTGCCACGCGCTGCTGCTGTCTCCGCCACCTAAGGCCTAACGAAAGGCTCTCGGACAACGTCCCTACAGTCTTTGCAATCTGACAGATGGTAGCTAACAGTCAAACCTCTCTGGGCTATTCACTTACCTGGAGACAACGATCCCCTTCCGGAGGGGAGCACAGAGGCCAAATGTGCTCTTGCCTTCACTTTTCAGCCACACAGCGTGTTCTCACGGCCACCGGCCAAAATGGCGGTGCCCAGCCGACGCTCGCGCAAGCCATAGGACGTAGTGCGCGCGCGCGACATAGAGCGTGGGGCGGAACCCTGGAGGTAGGTAGGGAGAGATGACGTCATTGTGCTGCGACCGTGTTCAACGCCGCTGGCGAAGCCAGGCTGTCCGAGGAAGCCGAGTGGGAGTGGCACGGAGCTGCTGGGGGTCCTGAGAACCTGAGTTTCGGCAAGCAGCCGGGTCTGGAAACTGTGAGTGTGTGGGCTTTTCTCCGACGTCAAGCGTGGTCCTAGCGTACACAGATGCATTCGCCTCCCCGGTTTCAATCTTTTTTTATGTTCACGCTTTGTTCAAGGCCCGTGGGTCAGGAGTGGAGCCTTAGTTATTCTAGCACGCTAGAGGTGTCAATAGGACCAACAGAGTATGGTCCGGACATACTCTGTTGCTGTTGCGCGCTCTCCTAGGCCTCAACTCCCTCTCATCTGTGTGGTCAGTTCAAGGCCAGGAATCCAATCTTTTCCGAGCTCCGTATTTTATCCACTTGGTGGCGTCCAGTCCCAAGTCCGGCAGTTGAATTCTGCCCTAAAGATGGGCTTTCTTTCTTTCTTTTTTTAGATGAGAGGATATTCAGTTAGTAATGATCATTGCAGGTTAAATAGTCTCGCCCTAGATCTCACCTAACTTGCAGGCAAGTGACAAATAACTAGTTCATGACTGAACCTATTCATCTATTTATTCATTCAGTAAATTACTTATTGTGCATTTAAGCCTCAGGCCTTGCCAACGTTTACAGTCCGTTGTCTCTGCCGTTATTTAGTATCAAATGCTTGTTTGCCGATTAGAGAACAACTTCGGATACGATGGGAGGTGTCAGAACTATTGAATAGCGTATATAACAATTTTGAATAGCGTATATAACAATGTTCAGTAGCAGTGACTGTGCTACCAAAGCAGTTTTACATATTGTTCACGATCCAATATTGAAGTGTTTTTTCACGTATGAGTAGACTTACAAAAATTAACAAAAGATGTGAAAGATGAGGTCATCCTTTTTAAAATGGGCCAGTTATTCACTTCAAAATCTTGAAGCCATTTTCTTGACCTTATCTTCTGTGGTAAGAGCATATGTAAGTGAACTTTTAACATTTTTTCTTTTTCTTTTTTTTTGGGGGGGGGACAGAGTCTTGCTCTGTTACCCAGGCTGGAGTGCAGTGGCACGATCTTGGCTCACTGCCACCTCTGCCTCCCGGCTCAGGTGATCCTCCTGCCTCAGCCCCTCTGGGACTACAGGTGTGTGCCGCCACACCAGGCTGATATTTTGGAATTTTTTTAGAGACAAGGTTTCACCATATTGCCCAGGCTGGTCTCGAACTCCTGGGCTCAAGCAATCCACCTGCCTTGGCCTCCAACCTGCTGGGATTACAGGTGTGAGCCACCGGGCTGGGCCTTAAATAAAACTTTGACAGTTAGAGGGCAGGTATGACTGTTCTCTGCATCACTCAATTAATTTTTAAAATGAGGATCTTAGGGGGGCGGTGAGATCACATCTGTAATCCCAGCTACTTGGGAGGCTGAGATGGGAGGATCACTTGAAGCAAAGTGTTCAAGACCAGCCTGGTAGCATAGCTAGATCCTGTCTCTAAAAAAAAGAAATTAAGTAAATAAAATGAGGATCAATATTTATATATTCCTAGAATAAGAGTATTTCAGTCTGATTTTTCTAGGGCTAAAAGTCATTTGAATTTTCAGTCATAGAAGTATAGAACTGCATAGCATTGTAGAGTTAAAAATCATCAAGTGAACCTCTTTGATAGGAGAGGAAATAAAACCCAGACCTACTCAAAGTCTAGGCTAATTAAAGGAGATACTGAAGCCAAAACTTTGATTTTGTGCTCTTTTGACTGCTATAACTCACTGCTTTGCATATCTGGTCATATGAAACAAAACCTGAATTCCTAAGATTTTTATTTTTTTAAAAATAGAGGTGGGATCTTGCCATGTTGCCCAGGCTGGTCTTGAACTCCTGGGCTCACATGATCCTCCTGTCTCAGCCTCCCAAAGTGTTGGAATTACAGGTGTGAGCCACCATGCCCAGCCCCTGAGATTTAAATTACAGTAATTTAATTATATTAAGTGCATTCTTCAGAATAAATGATTAATATCAGGGTATATGAGTTCCATTAAGTTTTTATTGATAAAAACCTTTTTGTAGAAAGATGCCCAATTCCTGATGTAATATGTGCATTCTTTTTTTCTGCATAGAATATTTTAAAAATGACCACACCAAACAAGACACCTCCTGGTGCTGACCCTAAGCAGTTGGAAAGGACTGGAACAGTACGAGAAATTGGGTCACAAGCTGTTTGGTCACTCTCATCTTGCAAACCAGGTAAAAACAAACAAAAAAGCTGTTGGAAATAGTCACTTGCAGTTTCCTTGTACAATCATCTCCCCTTATCCCAGGGGATACATTCCAGGACTCCCAGTGGATGCCTAAAACCATGGATAGTACTGAACCCTTTCTATATTAATACTGTGTTTTTTCCTATACATAAATATCTGTGATAAAGTGTAATTTTAAAATTAGGCACAGTAAGAGATTAACAATAATAACTAATAATAAAATAGAACAGTTATAACAATAGAAGTAATAAAGTAATAAAAGTTTTGTGAAAGTGGTCTCTTGCTCTCAAAATACTGTATTGTATTGTACCCTTCCTCCTGTGATGAGATGAGAAGTAAAATGTCTATGTGATGGGAGCGAGCAAGGTGAATAATATAGGTGTTGTGATGTAGTGTTAGGCTACCATTAACCTTCTGACAATACTTCAGAAGGAGGAGCATCTGCTTCTGATGATTCTGGATCATCAAGCCGTGATGATATTGATGATTGGATGTCAGGAGCAGATGATGTTGATGACTAATGGTCAAGTAGTATATACAGTGTGGATATGCTGGACAAAGTGGTAGATATGCTGGACAAAGGGGTGGATATGCTGGACAAAGTGATGATTTATGTCTTAGGTGGGATGGAGCAGGATGGTGAGAAATTGCTTCACACTACTTAGTGCACAGTTTAAAACTTACCAATTATTTATTTATGGAATTTTCCTTTTAATGTTTTGAACCGTGATTGACCAAGGGTAACTGAAACTGCGGAAAGTGAAACTGCAGATAAAGATACTACAGTACGCTGGTCTGATTTTAATATTCCTTTTGTTTAGATGCTTTATTTTAATTCTGATGCACTGGATTTTTTTTTTTTTATCTTATATCTCTGTCCAATTTCTTTACTAATCCCTTGTTAGATTTAACTACATATGTCATAAGGTCTCCTCTTTTCATCCTCTCTCTCTGCTATGATTCAGTTGTTAGTTTTTTTTTTTTGCCATTTCTCTCAGTTGGATAAGTGAGTGATAACATATGTCAGAATACTTTCCTTTTAGTCTTCATTGGGATAGAATTCTTGGGTGGCTGTCCTTTTCTCTCAAAAATTTATGAATGCTATTTCACTGTCTTCTTTTTGCATGTTGTGGGTAGAAAGGCCTATGCCTACCTCTGTTTTTTTTTTCCCTAAGTAGCTTGTTTTTTCTGGAAGCATCTAAGGTTTTTCTCTTTGTTGTTGAGTTCATAGCATTTGCCAGAATATCTTTTCTCACCGTTGTAACCCATAATTTGATAGGCAGTTTTCATCTGCAGACTCAAGCTTGGAGAAATTTCTTTAGCTTGAGGAACTTTATAATGTTATTAGTTTAGTAGTCGTCTTTCTTTCAGAAACTTTTATTATTTACACATTATGACTGCTGTATCCATCCTCTCAACCAAGCCTCTTCTGTTTCCCCTCAAGATTCCCTTTTCTCACTTGTTATGAGTACTTTATTGAGGTATAATTTACATACTCTAAAACTTGTCCTTTTTAGGTATACAGTTCTATGAATTTTACAGACATGTAGAGTCATATAAGCAGCATTATAATCAAATATATAACATTGCCATCATCCCACAAAATTCCCTCATGTCTCTTTATGGTCAGTCTTCTGGGCCTTTCCAAGCCCCTGACACCTCTAATCTGTTTTGGGTCCCTTTGGTTTCACCTTTCCCAGAATGCCAGTATAAATGTAATCATATTGTATGTAGCTTATTGGTTCTAGCATCTTTCATTTAATATAATTCACTTGTGAGTTTTGCTGCTGCACATATCTGTAGTTTGTTCCTTTTTATTGTTGATTACTGTTCCACCATATGGGTGTACCTGTTTGTTCATCCATTCACCAGATTTGTAGTAGCTAGCTTTCAGAATGGTCCCCAGTTATTCTTGCCTTCTGTTATTCATGCCCTTCTGTGGACCTCTTCCAGATTGTGTCAGGATTGGTCTCTGGGACCAGTAGAATAAGGCAAAACTGATGGTATATAACTTTTGAGACTAGGTTGTAAAAGACATTGTGTCTATTATTTCTTCAATTATTTCTTTTGTCCTATTCCTTCTCTATTAGAATCTGGGAATCTAATTATACGTATGCTAGACCATTTGGTATTATCCCACAGCTTTTGGGTACTCCATTGGCCTGTTTTCAAATCTGCTGCATTTGTCTTTGGCTTTATTGAATATACTGATAATTCTGCCTAAGAAATTTTTCATCTGTGATATTATATTTTTTATTTGTAGCTCTTCCATTTGACTCTTAGAGTTTTCATCTCTATTGAAATTCCTGTCTGTTAACACAGTTTATCTACCTTTCTAGGTTTTTTTTTTTGTTTTTTTTTTTAAAGATCTTAGTTATAGTTATCGTTATTTAAGATTCTTGTCTGATAGTTCCAACAACTGGGTCATCTCTGGGTCTGCTTCTATTTATGATAATTCTGTTTTTCTTTTTGTTTGTCTTTTTTTTATGTGCAGATTAGTAGATACTGAGATAAATAGTATTTACACCTTGAAATGGATGCCTTTTTTCTATCATTTGTCCTTTATTGTGGTATTTGCATTAGTTAGGAATTGAGCTGAGTTTGAGTTTTGTTTTGCTATGGTTACCTTCAGTGTCTCACAGGCTTCAAATTCCTCTAAAGATGCCCTGTGCTTATTGTGGGACCATTGTGCCAGAGACATTTTCTTATTTTTCTGTGTAATAGTTCCACTCCAGTTTTCCTGTGCTCTGGCGCACACTTGTGCTACAGAGGGTGCTTCTCGCCATGCTCTTGCCCTACGTACAGCTGTAGAGTACTGTGTTTTGTTACTCAGTTCAGGGTATGAGAGGCAGGGTAGTTCTCTGTTTTCCTAGTGCAGCAGCAGTCTTAGGTAGGCCGTATGTGCCTGGCCTCAGCAATTTGGCCCCTCCTATTCATGACAGCCTTGTATCTGTGGTTGGTCTTTTGTGGAAGAGAGTTTTCTGCCTCACTTTGAGAAAGAACTGTTGTTTGCCCCTCTCTCAGGTGTAGAGGGTTTTTTCTTTTACTCATCTTTCAGCAAGGATGGATGTTTATTTGTGTCCTGGAGTCAACAGGGTTGATTCTCCTCCTACAACAGCTTAAGTCCTTTGTTCTGTGGGAGAGAAGGGTTTGGAAGGAGGGTAGAACTTTTTGCTTTCCTTCAGTGGTGGTCAGTCGCCTCCTCTGTACCTGTACCACTGACTTAGGCTCTTTAGTCTCTTGCCCTCTCCCAATCTTTATGTGTAAAGTGAGCACCCTTGCAAAAGAGTCTGAGAGTCAGTGTGAATTCGCCTTGTGTTTGGGGCTGTCAGTGTTGCTGTATTGTTATGCTGGCCTGCATTTGGTCTTTGTCAAATGATGAAAGTTATACTTGATTTCTTCTTATGTGTTTATTTGGTCTCTGTTCCTTCCTCCTATGCTCTACCACAGTTGGGACAATCTGTAATCTTTTTTCTCCTGGGAATGGGGGCTGCCCCTTTCTTGGATTTCAGGCTGTCTTGTAGGAGTTTGTAGTTTATCCAGCTTTTTCTTGTTGTTTGGAGGGAACTGATTTTTTTAAATTTAAATTTTAAGCTTAAGTTCTGGGGTACATGTATAGGATGTACGGATTTGTGACATAGGTAAATGTGTCCCATGGTGATTTGCTGCACCTATCAACTTATCACCTAGGTATTAAGCCCAGCATGCATTAGCTATTTTTCCTAATGCTCTCCCTCCCCCAACCCCATCCCGACAGGCTCTAGTGTGTGATGTTCCCCTCCCTGTGTCCATGTGTTCTCATTGTTTAGCTCCCACTTATAAGGGAGAACATGTGATGTTTGGTTTTCTATTCCTGTGTTAGTTTGCTGAGGATAATGGCTTCCAGCTCCATCCATGTCCCTGCAAAGGACATTATCTCATTCCTTTTTATGGCTGGATAGTACTCCACGTGTTTACACTGTTGGTGGGAACGTAAATTGGTTCAGCCATTGTGGAAGACAGTGTGGCGAGTCCTCAAAGATGTAGAACCAGAAATACCATTTGACTCAGCAATCCCATTACTGGGTATATACCCAAAAGAATATAAATTATTCTATTACAAAGGTACATGCACATGTATGTTCATTGCAGTACTATTCACAATAGCAAAGATGTGGAATCAACCCAAATGCCCAAAAGACTGAATAAAGAAAATGTGGTACATATACACTATGGAATACTGTAGGGTGATTTTCCCCTCCCCGCATTTTTTAAAAGCTTTTCCAGCTTCCTTTTAGGTTGCTTTGGAATTCCTTAATATCCATTATCATTTTTAATATTCCTATAAATATGCTTAAATTGAACATCTTTCACTGTTTGATCTAATAGTATAACTAGACTGGGGCCATATTGTGTCAGTAATGAGATATGAATCAGTGCTAGTTGAACTCCTTTGGTAAAGTTTACCTTCTTTGGTAAACTAGCACTGATTCATACCTCATTACTAACACAATATGGCACCAGTCACTGGTTTGAAGAGAGCAATACATGTCACCAGTTCCCTGAAGATGCCCCACTGCTCTGACATCTTGGAGGTGCAGAAGAGATAGTTACTGCTACTACAGGAGTGGCAGGATCACTTAAAAATGTGTTGAGTATGAAATTCATGAAGTTTATTAGTACAATGTCATATGTCTTACTTCACGTGACTTTGAGCTTTGAGTCCATCAGTGAACTATCATTATATGATTAGCACTTTATATATTAAGAATGACTACTCTTTATAAACAGGAAGCTGCATGAGAAAGTGGTTGCTCGATCTTTGCTTCTCTAGGGTCAGATATTTTTCAGTTTAAGTCAGCAGATGGTGCTGAGATTTGTAACTCAAATTTGTTAGAGATTGAAAGACAAAAAAGACACAATCCCTTATGGTCAAGGACTTCACAATTTAGTGGAGGAAGTATAGCTTTAAACTATTACTATACAATGTAATAATTAATAACTTTG